TTTCAGATGTCCTCGTAAGATAAATTCAACACATCAGTTTGTGTTTTATTACTGATTAAAGCAAATAATCAAAGATGCATGGAGGAGGAAAGATTTAAGTTCATTCTGAGCCACGTTGATGTTTGCATCCACGCAGCTCAAGTTATTTTGCTTCTTTAAACATGAGCACAGATTTGTGTTTGTATTTATCGTGTAAGTGAGACGGATCCACGGATAGTCGGGACGGGTGACGGACAGGGCCACAGTAACAATGACAGAGCTGTTTGGGAGGGGGTGACAGGGACTCGGGACTATCTGACATTTGAAATTTGGTCTTACCTCACAGTCGGACTCCTCTTTGGTCTTACACTCCCAGGTGTATCTGCTCATGGTTTTCTGAGGGGAGGGGGATGGGGCAAAGGGTTATACTCCTCAAAAACTATACAAGGCATCCTCAGAGAAAGAGACAGGGATGGACAGAGAGAGAGAGAGACGGAAAGTGGACAGAAAGAAGGAGGAGGAGTCGGAGGACCAGAGAATCGGAGACAATACGGAGAGATTAAGAAGCAGACAGGAAGAGACGGAGATAAATCAGACCGAGAGACGGAGAGCTGGAGACAGAGGCCAACAGTAGGAGTGACTCGACTTCCTTTCAGATGTCAGCTGATATTCCCAGCCGGCTACACACTCTGTAATCTCAGCCTCTCTGGTGCTGTCTGGATCTTCACCAGAACGTTCAGATATTTGTGATGAAGTTCTCAACCAAAGTGGCACAGACACAGGACTGTTAGTTCACACAGGAGCTGCGGTTATTTGCTCTATTACAGGGTGCATTCTGGGATTATTTAGGGAAAGATGTGAGTTTTGGTCCGAGGATGTCTAAAGTTTTAAAATAATCTGGATTGAATAGTAACTGAAAGTATTTTTTTATATATATTAAACATCTAAGCATGATGATTAAAGGTACTTCACAGTGAAGTTTGGTTTATTTTCATCCAGTCCAGAATCCATCCTGCGTGTCCAGTTTGATTTACGCCACTCGTTTCTCAGGAGAATTAATATTTTAAACTCAGCCGGATCAGATAAATAAAATGTAACTTTAACGACTCAGTGGCTTTTGAAGTTGCAACCCGAGTCCTTTTTTTATTTTATTATAAAGCAGATGTGATGCACGTACCAGATGAAAGAGGCACAAAGTTCCACATGTGTAAAAACCTGAATAATTGTTTGCTGCTAAACTTCAGCGATTTTAATAATCATCATTATTTAAACTGACAAGCAGAAAGTAGTTGAAAATTAATGAATTGAGATTAACAAAAGCGATGTGAAGGAAACCAAATTGTCTTGTGCATTCGTTAAACGTTTTCCAAACTGAATTCTGTTCTTATAGAACGTAAAAATGCAAAGAATTTATTAGGTTTAAAGTTAGAAATCAATTAAACAAAAATCCTGAAATTTGAACAAGGGAAACCTGAAAGATTTGCACACAGTTTGTTTTTGCCAGAAGAAACCCAAACCAGTTGTTAGTGGTCAGTTTAGCTGAAACTTGGCAGCAGAAATATTTGATATATTTGAACAAACATCCACCAAAGATACTTGTAAAAAAATAAAATGCAGCTTCAGCACCAAATAAATAAATAAAATCTGAGGTATCTTTACTTGTTTCTGAGTTAACCCACTGAAACAACAATGTGCTTATTAAGCATTCACACTTTTGTTTATATTTAATATTCAGATTACTTGATCTAATCCATAAGTTTTTCAGCATCTTTCTTGTTCCATAATTTTGTGCTATTTCAACAAATCATATCAAAATGTTCAGCTCTTTCAGGACAATCCTGCTATGATTTTTGGTATAGATAACTTTAGCCTTTTGAAATATTTAGCCTTTTCTGCCACTTTTTTTGCTCATAATAAATGAATTGAGCTCATTTTACATCCTTGAAATCTTTAGATCTGTTTACAACCTTTTACTGCTCCTTTCATATTTTGTTCTGCTTCAGCTTCTTTCACATTCCTTGTGCAATTTTTTTTTTAAATCAGCTACATTCAGTTAATTTCAGCTTGTTATGCCCCTTTCAGCTTATTTCTGCAAGTTTCAACTTTTTCTGCTATTTCAGCTACTATTTAGCTGTTGATGCTAATTTTAACTTTTTCAGCTCATTTCACATTTTTTGCACTTATTTCAACTTTTTGCAGCCCAATGTGCCGTCTCCACTTCCTTGTAATTACAGCTTCTTTCTGCTTTTTTAGCTACTTTTCAGCTGTTTTTTTTTTTTTGCTCATTTCTGCTTCTTCATATATTTTCTACTTTGTGCTCATTTTCATTCTTTGAACCTAATTGGACAAACGTGCTCTCTGTACTTCCTTCTGCTAATTTAAGCTTGTTGTACCTTTTCAGCTACTTTTTGTTAATTTCACCTTTTTTTAAAGCTGATTCCCTAATTTTTGTGCTCATTTCTGCCTATTTAATCTTAATTCAGCAAAAATCTGTTTGTTCTGCTTTATTCTGCAATTTAGTTGAGTTTTTTCTTCCATTTCAACTAGATTTCAGCATGTTTCTAGCTAATTTTAGCTGTTTTTCAGCAAGTTCTTCTGCATTAAGCATTCACGCTGCATTTCCACAGGAAGCAGAGTTTCTCTAGTTAGCTATTTACATTAAATACTATTCAGCCAAGTGCAATAAAAGTTTATACTATTCAACCCACTGTGTTAAAGGTTTGTAAGGATGTATTGAGCTAGAAGCTAAAGGTTCAGGAAGTGATAATGGTGGGGGTGTCTGGGTGAATATGGTTTGGAGTTACAATGAACTGGAGGGGAATAATTATAATTATAAAACTAATTCATGGGGGAAATAAATAAGAATTATCAGAGCATTCTTCCTTTACAAGATGAACACAACTACTGATGGAGTTGTTAGAGGGTGGTACCACATCGTATAATCACTTCAACTTAAAATAAAAAGTATTTGTTGTAGCGCTACCACAACACATGCTGCTACAACTACCAGCTACGCATGCTTCGGCTCACGAGGTCCGCTGGATGTTGCATCGCAGATGTTTATCCTGATGGCGACCGCCAGCTTGTCATATCCAACAAACTTACCTGTTGCAATTTCTTTCCCAGGAACCACCTGGACAAGTTGTAACAGCCCCTCCCTGTTTGCCCCACCCACTTCCAGGATAAACAAGTTAAGGGTACATCTTTTTGCTGCTGAAAGTAAAGATTCGTAAACAGAAATCAAAGCCGAGCTGCGGCGGCTGACATGGCCACTGGGTGGAACATGTTAGCGACAGAGCAGACATGCCATGACAGACTGATGCAAAGAGGTGATCAGAGAGAGAGCAGGTCAGGAGGCAGGGTGGGACGGGTCGCTGCGAGGATAGTTCTCTTTAACTGGTCAGATTAAAGTCGAGGTGGCTCGACTGGCAGCTGGATTTTAATGACAGCCTGTAAATATTCAGTTTGGTTTAACCTCTGACCCGTGGCTGCCTCTGTGTCCTCGTTCACCTACAGAACTGGTCTTTACCGTGACACGGTCCAACCAGATTAGTGTCCAAATGAGTCCAACTGAGAGTTGGATCCTCAATTTTACTTTAAAATACTTAAAAAGTCTGCGTGGTTGCTTTTAAAACAAACATATAGAAAACCAAATCATTAAATACTGTAAAACTAGAAGGGTTCATTGTTATGCTGCTATTGTTATTGGTGATTTAACACTATCCATGCTGCTGATCATCCATGCTGCTGATTTCTTACTTTAAGCTGCTGTATTCATACCCCTCTGCTCACAACAGACTCATGTTCAGGCTGCTGTTTAATACACCGTATTATATTATATTATTGTTTAGCGTGTAGCTTAGATCCCTATATGCTGTTTATTTTTATACTTTATATTATTGTTATTTTTGGGTATAACTGGGACCTTGAGTACACAGTTTTGTTCCACCTCATGTACCACATGTGATGAGGACGACAACAAAGGACCTTGAACCTTAGAACTGTGGTTCCTAGAGTCGGTGTTGTCACCCCACTGTGGGGGGTCATGTTAGGTTTCTTGGAAAATCTTTAGATGGCAATTTAAAAATGATTTGCTTATGGTGTACACCAGGGCTATTAACTAAATTACTCTGTGGGACACAGTTACTGAAAGCCAAGAGCTCAGGGGCCGGACGTCCAGCAGTTATTGTCATTAAGTAAGTTTGTTTTATGGTTTAAAATCTAGTTTTTATTTAAAAATTAACCCACTGGTGGGCCACACTGAGCTCCCTCTTGGACCTGATTTGGCCCCTGAGCCTCCAGTTGAATAGGTCTGGTATATATTAACATTAACTGTGACAAAAAGTAAAAATAGTACTTACAAATGAACAAAAGTGGTTGTTAAAAGTGTTTGTGCTGCCACCGTGTCCTTGTCTTTAGAGGGTATTAGCAAAACTTTTACGCTCATTAACCTAAACTTCTCTAAATAAGGTCTCCCAGAAATTGTAAGATCTTCATGTGTATTTAATAACTTTATCTAATAAAGGGACTGGTTCTTCTGTGAACGCTGGCTTCTACGCATCAATGTGGGCTGCAAGAAAGAGTTCATCTTCCCCGTGTTTGTATTCTTGTGTCTGCAGTAGATTTCTGATCACAAATCTGTTGAGAGCTTTATAACATTTCATTACTATTAGTTATAGTTCTATATTTAGCCAAAAAATGTAGAATATCACTTGTGCAGGTTTTCTTTTTTCACCAATATAATATAAATCTAATTTTTCATGCAAAAACATTAAAATATGTTTTGGATGTATAAGTAAAACTTTGTTTTTCAAAGTGATTGTGTAGCGTTTAGATTTATTTGTCCAATTGTCCATCCTTGCTCTTAGACTCCGCCCACCCTCCTCCTTTAGCGTTTACCACCTCAGAGTATCAGAGAGTAGTCGTGCCCATGCATTTTGAGGGAGGTCGAGGGTCCGGGCAGGGTTTGGGGCAGGGAGATGCAGAAAAGGGGTGATAGAGAGAGGCGAGAACCACGTTACCTGACAGATAATGTTATCATAGTAAGCCAATGCACGGGCATGAGGGACGTTAGGAGGGGTGTCGCACAGTTTCCTTACATTTGGGTGGGAGCCCTCAGCGATGGTGGACAGCGAGAAATTATCATTGTGTTGCTCCGATGAAGGCCGGTACTTACTGCTGGGTGTTGGTGGATGGAGGGGGGAGGGGGGTGAGAAAGAGAGGGAGGGCAGAAAACAAAAGAGGAAGATTTGAAGCAGAACAAGAATTTGAAGAAAAACACAAGAAGGCAGAAAATAAAGGAGAAAAAGAACAAACGAAAAGAAACAACCAGGAGGTGGAAAAACGTTTAAGGTGACACGTTTAAAGAAAAGATGGAAAGAAGAGATTCTCAGAGAGAAAAACAAGAGGGGGGAAAAAAGGCGAGAAGCAGTGTTAGCAAGTTTTTGACAAATAAAACCATTAAAAGCATTTATCTGTGATGCAACATACTGGGAACAGTGTTACCTCATCCTGATGCATGCTCAATAATCCATGACGACAAATCTAACAAAGTTGAATCAGGTCCTCTGGACAGATTCTTCTTGTTGAAATGTTTCATCTTTTATCCAAAGGACTTCTTCAGTCTGAGGTTCTGCAACAAACTCAGTCTTATAAACAGAACCTTCTCATAGTGGATCAACCAGTTTTCTGAAAACTAGCTGTTCACCTGGTAAAGGAGGACCATCAGTCTAACAACTGATGGTGAGTTCCCTGATGGCCGCTTGCTATTCACAGAGGGCTGAGTGACAGTAGCAAATACAGCATTGTAAGAGGGGGACAGCTGGACATGGAGGTCTCCACCCTGTTTAATGATGGTCGAGTTCTCTTCACAAAGATGGCCTCCTTCACTCCTCTCTCAAACCAGTGTAGACTTTGTGGTCCTTATTCATCTCCAGGCCAGCGGTCACTCGTTCAGGGATGAAGATATTCAAATCCTTGATAGAGTGGAACGTTGGTTTGACAGAGGAGTGAAGGAGGCCGTCTTTGTGAACAGAACTCGTCCATCATTAAACAGGGGTGGAGACCTCCGTGTCCATCTGTCCCCCTCTTACAATGCTGTTATTGTTATTATCACTCAGCCCCCTGTGAATAGCAAGCGGTCATCAGGTCAATGTGAGGCTGCTGGTCCTCCTTTCTCATGTGAACATCTACTTCTGGCTGTCACCAGCGAACTGGTTGATCCACTATGAGAAGGTGCTGTTTATAAGACTGAGTTTGTTGCAGCTCCTCAGACTGAAGAAGTCCTTTGGATAAAAGATGAAACGTTTCAACAAGAATCCGTCCAGAGGACCTGACTTAACCTTGTTGGAAAGTGTTACCTTGTTCCTAACAGACAAGAAGGCTACAACATGACTTCACTTCATATTTATTTATCTGTTAACCACAAAAGAAACCTTTTCTCATGGGTAGATTTGCTTTTAGTCACCTCAGCTCTCAGTTAATGGTAATAAATTGTTCAGAACTTCATCCTAAACATCACACAAAGAATCACAAGAATGAGACACAACCCAGAGAAAATTATATTTTATAACTAATGTACAGAATCTATAAGAGTGGAGAAAAAATAACTAATTGTAACACATTAATTGCATCGGAGAATGAACTGCAGAAGTCGGCACAGAGAGCGATGATGTCACTGTTTTTCTTTGTTAAATCAAAAATCATTTCACATTAGTTGAACTAAATTACCTACTTTCAAAGATTATGATGGAGAATTAGTCAGAAGCATTATTGGGCTGAATTTAAACCATTTAAAGAAATCTACAACAGATGAAATGAAAACATTAAAAAATAATAATTTTTACCGGTGCTGCATTTATGTTTTTAATAGTTTTTTTAACCAAATTTACCGTAAAACACAAAACTGATTAGCTCATGAATGAATAATTTGTTGCTTTTCTATTCAGTGAAACCTCCTCAGATTATTTTTCACGTAAACAGCAGAATCAGCCATGATTTTTTCCAACAGCCTCACGTTATTCACAGGTTTGAACAGAGTCATTCAACAACAAATGGTTTGAATTAACAACTATAATTAATCAAAACTGTAGGTTCAATCAAACAGGTTTTTATTTTTGCTTTAAAGGGAGAAAGAACTGAATGATATCAAACTATTTATGCGGCTGCCACAAACAAGAGCTGATGAAATATGCTGAATAAAAACATCAAATGATCTTATTTATAACAAGGAAAGGTCCAGTCTGTTGTCAGTGGAACATTTAATGTTGCTCTAATCTTCTGTCGCAGAGAATCACATCATCTGTTCTTCTCTCATGTTGTCAGATATTCATGTTCAATAAATGCATTTATTAAGAGGCATCCATCTGATTATGTATCAGGAAAAGGTCAGTTTGGGTTAAATATTCATGATCATGTCCTGGTCTTAGACTTGTAGTTATTAGGCTTTTAAAATATATTTAAATTTAAGTTTGCTTCTGTTTTTCCAGAGCAGGGGTCTGCAACCTGCGGCTCTGGAGCCACACGCGGCTCTTTGGTTCCTCTGCAGCGGCTCTTTCAAGCTTCGATCAAAACTGACATAAAACTGAATTTTATTGGTTCTTATAACAACAAAAAAGGATTAGTTCAACAGTTTTCCTGTCATTTCTTTTGCAAACGTGAACACTGGAGCAAACACAAGAAGAAACACGCTTTAACTTGACGCTTTATTTCTTTATATGAACAAATGTCTGCATAGTTTATAATTTTTTTATAAAAAAAAATGTAAAAACTGATTTTTTCCCCTTCTTTACAAGAATCATTTACTTTAATAAATGTTAAAAATCATTAGATATTTTTTTGCTTTACAATGTCACCCCTACAAAAGCCCCTCCAGCAAACCTAAAGTGGCCCATGGGCCACCAGTTGATAACGCAGGTTGCTGCGGCTCCGGACACGTTTAACGTGAATGAAAGCGTCAAAATGGCTCTTTTGATCGTAAAGGTTGCAGACCCCCTGGGTATTTGTTCCTGTGCAAAATATCTCATCAAAACAAAACAATTTAAAGTTTTTATTTAAAGCTGAACTGCAGAATCATCGTTTAGTTGTTCTTTAACAAAAACAAGATAATGGAAATAACAACAAAAAAGGTTGAATCATGTCATCTGGACTTCGTTTTTTTGTTAAAAA